ATGTGTGTGTGTATTTATGTATGTGTATATATAATAAGGGAAACTTACGTCGTGATGCATGGTAGCGATGGTGATGAGAACCATGCCCGTGGGCACGATGATGACGCACACGAACAACTTCAGCAGCGAGAACTTGGGCAAACGGATCTTCATCTTGGCGATTTACTCACAAGACTTTTCGTATCGTGATCGCTTGTTCCGAAAGACCTTCACACTTAGGCTTATTCGAAAGATTTCCTCCCCTCCTTATTCGCGAATCACATCACATGCAGGTCGTACGTATAGAACCTCATGGGAAGGGAGGGGAAGGTCCTCTCCTCGATCTCGCAGCGTAGCTACTGATTCCCCGATGACACCCTCGGTCCCCAAGCCAGGTCAGTTCCCCACCTTCGCGACCTGTTGTTAATTTCCCCCCGAAGGCTTTCCCTACGAAGCCCTTGGACATTCTCTCCTTTTCCATCGTATCCCAACGCTTTACGCTGTTTAATCAAATAATCAAAACCCACAGCGAAGGTCAAAACAATAAGAAAACTCGATTTGATTGCAAGTGAATTGGGGTGGCAACGGCGTCCTTGCTTGTAAGGCTTCGCGAGCGCCAGACAGATCGCTCTTCCTGAATGACGCAACATTTTGACGTTCCTGCTCGAGTCAGTTAGTGTTCGCTTGGCCGAGTGAGGCAGTGCCGCTTAAAAGGGGATAGTGAGCATTCCTGTGGTTCTATGAGAGTGTATGGCTATTAAACAGGAACTATTTGTGTCAATGATTAAACCGTATTCCACAGCGCAGTGTGTGTATGACTGCACATAAATGTTTGTAATTTTGTTGATACAATCGTAGAAAATGATCGCAGGGAGAATTTTTGATAAAATGTTTTGTCTTAAAAAAATGCCATTTCAAATTAATGTTAACGTTTGATTAATTAATTTATTTATTTATTATTTTATTTTTTTTGTTAACTTTCAAACCTTCTTAAAAAAGTTAATCTATCATAAAATCGGTGACACGGTTTCGTAGTTGTGTTTGAGACCATGTGTGTCAAGTTTCAAGCGATTTGATTGGTCTGATTTTTTAGTACTACGTAATCCTCTTTTCGGAAAGCTGGCTTTTATGAAAATGAAGCAACAAATGGCGCAGAAACGATTACACATATGTTAAGCAATATGGCCTAAGCGCGGTTTTGGTTCAGAATTATATTAAAATAGCAGCATAGGATGTTACGAATGTAGCTGAAGTGTCTACTAGTCCCCAAATGTCTATGCGCGCATTTTCTCAGAAACAGGATTGCTCCTTTTAAAATGCTCAAATTTACAAGTAGTTTTGGCTATTTCTGGAAGCGAGTTGGTTGATACGATACCCAAGTAATTAATCTATCACATTAGCACGAAAGCGAAAAATCTGCTTTAGTTGTCATACATAAAAGTTTAAAGCATGGAACTTTTTCGGGTTTCAAAAAATGTGCAGCCATAATTGATACATGTGTTGAAAGAAGGTAATGCCGCCTCACCTCCATAGATGTTGCCAATTTGATAAACAAACAATTCCAGGATATCGCATTTGAAGAATATCGCATTCCACAACCCAATATTCCAGTTTAAAGACGATATTACAATACAACCTACGGTAAAAAATCGTCTTTTGCTTCCGTTTAGCAGACGAATTTCCGTAGAATTTCAACCCTGGGGTCGGATACTCAAACGCGATACGGCGTGGTATCTCTTCAAGGCTCCGTAGCTTATGGCTGACTGGTCACATGGCCCTTGTACAAAGCAAGGGACCCGCCATATTGTTGCATTCAAAGCGCCGTAGAATAAGGCAGAGGGAGAGCAGCCCGAGTGGGTTACAGCGTACAAAAAGAAAAAAAAAAAGAAAAAAAAATCAGCCTTAGAACAATTAGTACAACCTTACAATGCGTGTTTTGCTTATTTATCTTGTTCTTATGAGTGCATGAACCAATCATGGACAAGGAAATCAGGCAGTGTTATATTCCAACATAAATCAAGTGCTGTAACTGTAAACAAGGCATTACACTAAAACTAGCATAAGTACTGTCTTCGCCTCGGATGTAATGGATTTACTTACATGTCCCAATTGTTATTACTGTTATTATCATTATTTTCATCAGTGTTAATATAGTTTATGGGTGAGGGAAAATCACGATGATTCATAGGAAAAGTAGATTATGTTACATATGAAAACTTAGTTAAAACTAAAACTTTTTCCAAGTATTTGTTAAAATGGGAACAAATGAAAATCAAAGCTAATCAGTCTTGTAATATTATCCATCCTTTCGAGCAAGGTCTTGCTTTCGAGGAGACAATATATATATATATATATATATATATATATATATATATATATATATATATATATATATATATATATATCATAGGGCACTCGCGCATCTCGTTAACACGGTCATTCTTTTTTCTTAGGAATCTTGCATATTTCTGTTACTAATTCCAGAGCAATAGTTAATTCCATTGTGCCAAGGACTGGACAC